CCCGCGGGTGGTGCTGTGCGTCGCTGGGGGCCAAGGATCTGATATCATACGTCGCGTTGGTAGGGTTGGCAGCCGCGGGCGTGATATCATGACTGACTTGCGCCGACCAACGCTCGACGACAACTAATAACAGTCTCCGTTCAGCTTTGAAAGCTGTTGGATCCTCTCGGTGCCCATGAACTCGACACTGAATGCGCATTTGGCCTGGCTGCCAGAAGAGAAAGTCTGTCAGTGGGCCGCGCAAGAGAACCCAAAAAGAAAAATCGATGTGAAGAATGAGTTCCTCCCCAGAGAGAAAATTAAACGATAATACGAAGAAGAAATGAGACACGGTGGAAGGGCGTGGGTGGGAGACCATTGAGTGTGGAGAGAGAACAAATGGAGGGTGAGATGGAGGGTCTTCCCAGAGAATCTCAATTCCCCAGCCAGGATCCTCTTCCCTACATAGTCCTCCGCTCCCCATGCCGCCGCAAGTGACCGTGTGACGGGCAGCTGGAGCAGAAGCAGAAGCCTGTGCCCGGTGGCCGGTCATAGTCGGTGTCGGCTCACTGGGGTCATCTTGGGAGCGTGGGAGCATGCGAGAGGGGAGCCTTGCCGTCAAGGATGGTTGGTTATTTCACTTCGTAGGGTTGCCTGCAGGGGATATTACATCGAAATCGATAGTGGTGTGGGGAAGCTTTTCGCAGCGAAGAAGCAAACGAAACAATGGAGGCAGGTTTGACAATGAATGCACAATGGAATGCTGAGAAAGAGTGCGAGGGAGAGGTAAGACCGGATTCTGGAGCGATGATTGTAGCCTCTTTGGAATTAGGCATGTCTCGTCCATCCTCCAACATTGAACAACAGAACAAGCCAGCTGCTGGCTGAAGCTGGATCAGCGGTCACTCCCCTTCGGACTCGTTGCAGATTTGTTTAGCCATGATGAGGTCGCCGGTGATACGTTACCAATGGAAGCATCCCGTCCATGGTGGGCTGAGATGCACGCAAGATGTGGCCATCTCTGCTGGCGACCCGCTCCTGCAGCGTATGTTCGCTGCCATGTCCCAACGAGGCTTTTTGTCCGGCATCGATCCAGAAGCAGCGACCGTGGCCGCGCGTGAATGGTGTTCCAGGAGGCCGGGAGGCAGGGCTTGCATGGCATGGCACGGCATGGCCTGGACGAGGATCCTAAGATGCAGCGGGCGGGATCAGAAGAAGGTGGCGAGCATCGCATCCATGGCCACGGTCAACCTGCCAGGAGTGCCAGGAGTGCCAGGAAGTTCATCCATCCAACCCACCCGACACTCGATGTGATGCGCGCAATATGTTTCCACGAAGCGGATGCAGCATGCGTCCTAGTGTGGATCCAAACAGACCATCGGTCTGCTAGCTTGCATGTTATGGGGGTTAAACTTTGCACGTCAACTGACCGCCTTCTACGAGCGTGGAATGGATTTGCCTGTATCTGTAGGGCTAGCATGCAATCGTCAGTTGGGGAGGTCTTTGGAGCTTGCGGGATTCACCTCGAGAGGGGCAGATACACGAGATGTGCGACTCAGGTCCCTGCTTTGAGAAGCTCCAGAAGCCAGACAAAAGTCCAGTGACTCTGGAACTCTGTAGGCACTACCAGCCTTTGGGACGGATCATTGGTCGTCTTCTTGCAGTCTGCGCAATGTTTCAATAAGACACGGCGGGAATAAGACGCCGCGGGCATGTCGGGCAGCAGTGAACGACAAGTTGGATAAGTGAGAGCGAAGCAGAGGTAGAAGCGTGTTTGTATCCGTTCAAGCGCCAACTGCATTGCTGTGCTGTCATGGAAGAGCTGTCGGTGCATGAGACAGAACGCGGTCATGGTCTCTTTGACGGATTGTGTATTGCATAGACAGACATACACCGTACTCTGTAGTCCGTACACGTATGTTTCCATAGTGCTCGAATCGTGGAGCCGGTCTGGACGTGAATATGACAGGTCGGAATTCGATGAGCGTGAGACAGAAGGGCCTTCCGGATCAAGATCGCCGCAGTGGGCCGGAGAGAACAAGTATCCATAGCGTCTGGGAGTTGTGTCCGTCCGCTGGCTGCGGGAGGAATGGATGAGACGAGATCGTTCTTGATGAGTCCTTGTCGTCTTCTCGAAAAGACGGTGACGGTGACGTTAGAGCAAGCCAGGGCTAGATTCCGTCTTCCGCGAGAGAAAATGAGGAGCCAAAACGTGTCCAAGGTGCAGCTGGGATGGCATGGGCTGGGAGGGCAGGGATAAGCGGTAGGTATGCCAGCCCAGCTGCCCAGGGCCTAGGAAAACCTACTCCAGCGGTGGAGAGGGAAGGCAGACAAGAACGAGGGCGAGGAAGTGGTTCCGTTGAGGATACCTTTAGCAAGCGCGGACCAGGAAAGCCCCAGGATGAGGATGGTTGTGGTGGTGCAGGCGTGATGTGTCAGGGAACAGGGGATAAGGAGGAATGTGGATGCGCCATGGGTGCCCAATATCCAGATGGTTCAAGTGTAAGTGCGATGTGGTTTGCTTGCTTGCTTTATTGTGCTGTGCTGTGCATCGCGTCACATCACGCAGTGCATGACTGGGCTGGCTTGGGCCGTCTTGCAATGAAGGGTTATCAAAGGTGGTGTTGAACAACTCAGAATCGTCTCAGATGGTCGAACTCTTAGACTCATAGACTCATAATCACCGTATGGCAATTGCCAGCAGTCAGTTGAGTAGGTAAGCATCGGATGCCGTTTTAAGACAAGGCGAGTGAAGCTTGAGACATTCAACGATAGACTCGCAGCTTCTTTTGTCTAGGGCTCAGATACTCGGAGAAACTCAGAGTGGGTGTGTATGCCTTTTGAGGAGACATGAGAGGAGTCGAGACCTGGAAGCTAGTTGCAACACAAGCGGGCGGGGTGGGAAAAAAGAGATGAGAGTGATGTGATTAATGAGCGGGGAAGAAGGGAACTAGACAGAGAACGAAAGGGAGAGAACCAGAGGAAGAAACGAAATGAAAAGATGAAAAGCCAATTTTGGTTGGCATCGACGATGAGTGAACGGTGCGGCACTTGACCGACTGTCAAGACTCAACAGCCAGGCTCATGCTCAGGCTTCGGCTCAGTCTTGAGTCTCGACTATCTCATTACTATCACCCAGGCTGGCGCGATTCGATTCATGCTTTGCACAATGAAGCGATGAATGTCGTCCGTTCCCTTTCCTCCCGCCCCCAATTCCAATTTACCACCTTCATCCCAGCTTGCCCTACGCGGTGATGCTTGCATGTTTGCCTAGTGGTCCCTCGCAAGGAAATTCCGTCATCAAATAGACTTCCTTACCCACGGCTAGCAGCTCCTCATTATCCATCTTGCGCAAGAAAAGACACAAACACTCGTCGACACCACCTGAGCCGTCCCCTCCCCTCCTAAAGCTCGGCCCAGGAGCGGAGTATGTCGCCTGTCTGCCCAAGCCGTCGGAAGGTCAGGGTCCAAGAACGCATGACATCCAATCGAGAGCGAGGTCAATCAAGTACGATACACAAGTTGAGTTCCTTGCAATTAGACTCTGCTGAGAGCCTGGCACACAAGTTCCAGATACACACCGTTGAAGGCACTCATCTTTCAAGCTCCAGCCTCCCCTTTCCCGCGTTGCGGCTTGCCCCAGATTCCGAACGATACGCTGCCTACCGAACTCTAAAGCGCCGGAGGGCTGTCGCCATCGGCAGCAAGCCGGATCTCGCCTCGGAAGTAGCATCCTGCTGCCGGTGGGCACTACGCTACCGTGCTAATGCTTTGAAGTATCTGTACGGATAAGGTAGAGACATGTCCGGGGGAGGGAGACATGTCTCGATAACGAGGTCTAAAGCAGCCCACTTCTGTTCAGGACATTCAGGTGAGTTGGGTCACGATGAACCGTATCCGTCCAGACCTGAGAGTAGCTACTGGCACACTACTGCGTAGATTGCCAGAGCCTAGAGTAAATTGAGCACCATGCCCTTGGAATGTGCACTCCAAGTGCCTGGCACCGTTCGTGTCTCCCCTGCAACTCGCAGAAACATGCCGATGGGTGCGCAAGCCTCAGGGTGCGCTAGGCGGAGGAACTTGGTCAGGAACCACGGCCCATGTACTGGTACACCCAAAAGAAGAGGGCCGTGACTTACATCATTCCGCATCTGCCGTACCGGCTGCTACCCATCTCCTGGTCCAGCTCCGCTATTGTTTCTTCTTGAATCTTGCCTAGCTCTGGTTTCGTCGTCCTTTCCCCTTGTGGTTTAATGTCGTCCAATCCAAGTCACGGCAGTAATTACTCAGTATTCCGTATACGTACCTACTGTCAAAATGAGTTGGTACCTTAGTCACGTCTAGATAACTCGAACATCGTCGTGGGTTGTCATGGACCGGACGCACTCCATACAGATCACCTCTTTGTCTTCTTTTCAGCCCAACCTTCATTCATCCTGGACACCGCCGTGAAGCAACGGAACATTAGAGTATCGCGCACCCGTCACCGACAGACGTTCCGTCGGATCCCGCCGGTGGGAGAACCTGCACGACGAGTCATCGACTGACCAGCCTCTAGTTCACCTCGAACACGCACACACATACACCCACACAAACAAAACATCTGGGTTGGGTATGTCATCTCGAAACCCAAGCCCAGCTTACCTGAACTGCAATCGCGCGCGCGCTCGAGTACTCTCCTTCTCGTCAGGTGTACAGATGCCAGAACCGCTGCTGCACGAGATAACGGCACAGAGTTGTGGCTCAAAGTTTCCGTGTCTTCCTTTCTTGGCCACTCATGCGAATCAGTACAGCTTTATTCCCGCCCTAGACGGGCATTCCAAACGTCACCGTTGATCAGATGGATCCCAATCATAGACATTCATATGGCCCGCCGTTGCGCTAACCCAACTGGCCCCCATTCTTCACTATCCGGCTTGCCGATTCGACATTAGCCCAAAGGCTTGCAAATCGACTTTCCTAAAGGCTAAACCGCCACACACGGAGTGCGGATTTAGCTAACTACCTGGATCCCGGGGGCTACAAGCTGCGCATCTGGGTATACACTGAAGCGAACCAGAACCGACGGACGCTCCGGGTCCTTACAAGATATGGATGTGACCAGGTGCTCCATTGCCCGCGGATACTACCCAGTATACATCACCTGGATACCCTATACTCCGCTCTGTATCCGTGCTGAGTACGGATATACACATATGGAATGTTATTCAAGAGACTGACGCCGAGCCGAATGGATGTGCAATAATAATGGCGATCTGCTCAGCATCACCCACGCCGCGCTGGAACCTACCCGCACCGGGCAGGCGGGCACTTTTGGGATGAAAAGTCTTCGACGGGGATCTATGGACTTGAACGTTGGACACTACTACCGCACTATTCTCTGAAAAGATACGGGACACCGCAAGCTACCGTCTACCTCCCCTCTGTACCTTGCCATGCTCGACGAACCACGCTAGCCGGCTAGTTACCTAGCGTCTGAGTAGCTTCCATGAGCCTGGTCGAAGGACGTCGTCTTCACTCCCCCGTTCTACTTCTCTCGCTTCTCTCCCCTCCCCCCCGGAGACCTACGCAGGGACCCCCGAAATCCCGGCCGATTTGGATTTTTCTCCCTCCTCCCACGCTCCACTGGCTGAGATGAGAGAAAGGTCCAACATCCCGCGTTTCTCCCTCGGCCTGCCAAAGTCGGTCAGAAGGGCGGTGATGAGAGGGGAAGCTCCCCGATTCTTGCATCATGCAGCGGAAGCCGTTCCTGGGGCGTAAGAGCATTCCTCTTCTCCTTTCAGACATATCTGACTGCTGCTGACAACAGGCCCCAGTGCCTTACCTGCACACACACACCTCAGACGCGAACACATCTGTGCGAGAGGGGGACAGCAAGATACGCAATGAGCATCGTAGAGTGGTAGACGTGCCACCACCCTTGCAGGTCACGGAGCTGCCCTCGACACAATAACGGCTGCGCAGCGCATCGTCATCTCGCGGCACCTTGGGTTCATGACAAGCTCCCCGCTACGTCTCGGCCGAGCAGTCATTCCTCGCGTACTTGAAAGTTGACGCCGCCTGAGCTGAGCATTGTGAATTTGTGCGGACAGCTAGCTCAGGCTAGCTAGCTGCGAAGCATCACTAACTGCTGCCCGTCATTGCTAGGAAGACCGAGGCAGCAGAAGCAAGCACCATCCCAGTTTCTCGCTGCCCTTCCGGAATGGCTCTTCAGTCGAGAATAGTTTGGCCCCGTGCGTCAAGCATGGCTAACCCTCCTGGAAAAAAGTATTTCTGCATGGCATGTCACAAGAAGCAAAAACAAGAGGCAAACTTCCCTAGGTCAAGGTCCTAGCCAAAGCCAAGGCACGCAAGCAAGACAAGTGCGCACAGAGAGAGAGAGAGAGAGAAAGAGTCGGTACCGTCATGTCAGCAGGGGACTTGTACCGTTACTTACCTCTCGACCCGAACGAGAGCAACCGGTCGACTAAGCCCTGTCAATGTCTGAGCACCCTATGGCGCCGAGACTGGGTCTACCCCCGGGTGTTTCCCTTGATCCCATGCCATGTAGGTACCCCGGCCAGCACATTTGCTGTCCACAACCCAACAGCTTCAACTTGTATCCAAATCCATGTCGCCGTTCATCCTCCTCTTCTCCTCCTTCTCCTCCACCACCGTGTACACCCCCATGCACGTTAAGCTCGTTGGTTCCCCGGCAAGTTGCCAGGGCTCGGTCGATAAGAAGGCTATGCCGCCATAAGAGAACTACGCTAGGGCAATTCAGAAAAAAATCAAATAGACCTGGTCCTCCCGACCTTGCCTAATAGTCTCTGTCGTGTAATGACCAGCGGTTACATTGGAACCATAGCAGCTTTGCAAGAGAATCCTAACCACTCCTTTCGATCACACTTGCTCATCTAAATCGAATACGACCTTGGTCATCAAGCCACCCTGCCCGGTTATCGAAATAACACTCAGTTCACACGAGGAACACGGCTCACCGCACTACGCTGCTTCGAATACTCAGCCTAGCAACAACTTTCACCTTGTGGTTCACGTTCTGCAACAATTCTTTCTTCTCAAAAGGACAGACTTACAACACGTCAAGCTTTTGGATCATCCCTGGGTTTATGAAAAGACCAGCAAGAAAGAGAACTAGCTCTAGCAAGGAATAAGGACGCGTTGGCTACTCACAGTGAGTCGATCCAGCCATCACATAGTGCCTGAGGTTCTCGGCCACTCATTGCCTGGGATCGAATCCAGAGTCATGAGTGGCCCGTTCGGCCTGCACTCTTACCACGCCATCAATACATTTAATCCTGACCATCGGCACTGCCAACCTTCAGCCAGCTTTCCAACCTCTTCCACGGCCTTTTGCGGTCACCCAAGTACTTTGTCCACTGAAACTTGCGTCTCATCTGGAGAGCTCGTCCTCCCAGTCGATAAAAGCAAAGCAGCCTGCCATCACATAGAGAGGTCATCACTACGACCACCGACGCCAATCTCGACAGGCCTGCATCTACCACATCGTGCTTTAGCCAGCTCTCTGATCAGAAGATTGACTTGACTGGGCGGCTTCCGTTGCGGCCGTTGAACAAGTCTTTCTTACCTCCTGACCTATTTGTGATATCTAGACCTTGGGACTGTTGGCTTCGACCCAGTTAGTCCCATCAAAGCCGACAACCTGGCGATCTCAGCGGTTGTCCGATTCTCTGAACATCACCAACCCCAACGTAGCCGCGAGGCTAAGGAGGGCGAAAACGCACAGGCAACCTGTCTGCATACAACTGACCGGTATCCTGGACAAGACAACGCACATTCTACCAAGCAACCTTCTCCCGGGCCAGATTCGGACTATTGCTCGGCTTCAAGTACTGGCCAGAACGGTCAATGTTCGGGCCAAAACGGCCGGGAGAGTGAAGGGGAAAAGGTCTCGATGTCACAGAGGGGGCTTGCACCTCACTCTACGACGCAATCACCACCTCGAGCTCCCTTTACTTCCCAGCAGAGTACTCTATCTCGAGACAGTCAAGCGTTCCAAGATGTTGTCCCAACCCCTTCCGCAGCCGGCGAGAGACACTCCAATGCTCCACGGTCCTTGGGCATCAGAGGGTTGATTAACCCGTCTGAAGCGCAACAGGAAAGCTCCACTGGCGAGTCATCACAACCTCGGCCAACTGACAGTCAGACCTCGCCGTATGGCATGCCTCCGGGGCAATATACCACATCTAGTGATCGTCAGTATGCATTCCAAGGTCGAGGACATCCTAGTTCTCAGCCCGGTACTCCAGCTGGTCACCCGACAACAACGCCGTTGGGCCACACACCATCGGAACACTCGCCCAAGAGTGGGTTTCCCTTCCCTCCCATGGGTGCGCCAAGGCAGATTCTCAGTCCTCGAGAAGTACGGGCAGCCAGCGTGAGCCAGACGAGTATGCGAGGCCACGAACCACAACAAACTCCCTTTTTACCGCCCAACGCTTCGCGACTGAAGCGCCCCTACCCTGGCGAGGAGGGTCCCCAGGAGCCCGTTCGTTCAGCATCCGGTCTACCCTTCTCTGGACCACCTTCCCTAGGCCCTCCTTCAGCAGGAATGGGTCCGCTCACAACGCCGCCGCGTTCCATGTCCCAGCCCATGGTTGGACACATGCAGCCTGGCAACCCCGAACGGCCTCAACTGCCCCCTATGGCACGAGATCCTCATGGTAGACCAACAGAGTTCCATGGTCAACCAATGCTACCTCCGGGTCAGAACTATCCTCCACCACAGTCACCAGGCGTCCCTGTTTGGTCCACACCTGGTGCCGGAACGTCCTTATATCAAAGTCTGCGGTCAGATGTGACAAAGGCGGAGGGTGGCATGGTAGTCAGGCTACCGGGAGACGAGGGAGGCATTCTCATACCCGTAGACGTACATCAGGCGTCAAAGCAGGCAGACGAGAAGCGCCAACGGAATGCCGGGGCTTCGGCACGCTTCAGACAGAGGAAGAAGGAGAGAGATCAGGAACAGACTGCCAGTCTGCAAAAGTTGGAACAGCGTGGACGTGACCTGGAGGCGAGAGTGCGGGAGTTGACACGGGAGAGGGACTTTTACCGGGACGAGCGCAACCGTCTTCGCGATGTGGTTCTTCGAACGCCTCTCAGCGACATGGCAAACGGACCTCCGAGCCCAACGTCGTCAAGAAGCGGAGGATCTATGGCGGAGACCAGCCCCATGGTGCAAGCTCCGATGCTGCCCCATCAATCTCAGGGCTACGCATCGAGCGAGGCGTCTTCGGTGGAACGACCGACGCGTAGACGTAGGACCGACTCGGCCCCGCCTCCAGAGTTCTCGATGCCTTCATATGGCACTCCGATCCCCCAGGCTGGAAACCTGCCACCTATGCAGGCTCCGGCGTATGGCATGATGCCGCAGAGACCCCCGTCTACGGCGCCGGGCGGAGAGCGACTACCACCTCTTCGGGGTATGGAGGGCCCTTACCCTGGCCAGGAATCGGGGCCGGGCGTGTCTGCCGGTGGTCCCTTGTATCCCAGCTACACGCGTGTCCCTCACGAGACGGGGTTCGCGAGCAGATCGGCTGGACCACCACCACCCGGTCACCACGGGCATCACCATCATATCCATGAGGGTGGCCCGCGGTAGAGCCGAGAACGACAGAACTATAACAACGTACGACAGAAAAGTGTTCATCTCTTACTTTGGCCTTTTGGAATTTTATCGACCGACCGCATTTCTCTACATCGACACTCGCTACCCAGTTTATACCCACTTCGTTTCACTGTTTCGAACTCGTTCGCTCTATACTACGAATACAGATTATAATAGGAGGGAGGGAGATGGCGGGGTTTCCAAAAGAGGACTGTTTGATTTGGGTTATTCATTTTTTGGGTTTATCTCTCAGAGAATCGCATAGTTGGGCGACCGACGCAGAACATTTCTTATGGGCTGTAAACATGGGAGTTGGCTGCATGGGAATAAGGAGAGGGAAGCAAGAGAGAAGGAAAGGGTTGTGTGTCAACAAGAAGAGTCAAAGTCATCATTACAACAGAAAGGAAAGCCATTTTTGCCTCTGCCGAGGGATGGTTTGGTCCGACCAAAATCAACTTTTCCACAGCGCTGGGTTTTATGTTTTGTTTTATTTTGCACTTTTATTGCTTTTGCTTTGGCGTGAATGGGACGGAGGGACTGGGACTTGCAAGTTCATCAAGTTGTGTTTTCAAAGCGGATATTTGATAGAGCATCGGATGTTCACCATCACAGCCGACTGTGTGTGTTTTTTGCTTTTGTTATTTCATGTAGTAGACGCCGGACTAGTCAGTGATGGCGTCGTATGTTTGATACGGAGACCGAGATTAGACCCGATTATGAGATCCTTCCACACCGGACTTTTGGTATCTATAGAAATTCAAACAATAGACGATCGACTGTGTGTTATCAATTTGGCTTGGCAAGATTGTGTCCTCTATCCAGCCCACACCCTTGAGTTACGTATTGAATCTGATAAACAAACGCCGATTTAGTCAGAACCCCGATGACGAGAAGAAACTCACGGGCGTGGGGGATAGGCTAGGGGGTGGTCGGGGGTGGTCCCAAAAAGAACTTGAAGTGAGGCGAGTGAAAAAGTGTGTGTGTGTGTGTGTGTGTGTGTGTGTGTATGTAGCTTGACCGTCAGGGGGAAAAAAGAAGAAAGGATCCCAAGTAGTTTTTACTGGATGATTTGCGACAAGCCACACGACGATCGAGAGAAACGAAGGGTGGTTTTGGCAGCCCCGGGCTCCAGGTGGCCGGTTTGACTGGACCTCTGACCGGGCAAAAAGTCAGCTTATGCCATAGATGCGAGTCATCCCAATCCATTTCGTACATGGACATTTTTTTCTGCCACTCACCCACTCGCTCACCCACGTCCTCCTTGCTTATGATCGACCCGGTAGGTCAGATCCCATCCATCCATCCCACATGAACGGCGCGCGATTTGTTCAGACTGGGAATGAGGGTGGGAGGGTAAGGGGGCCCATGCCAATGGCTGCAAACCCAGGCCGCCGTCGCCGCCGCCGTTGTCGTCGTCGTCACCTTTTTCAAATGTGCCAACGTCCGTCTTGACAGGACAGCAAATGTCTCACGCGCGCCTTGGTGGACAAGATACCCCAAGAAAAGCTAGACAGATATAGAGCCCAAAGAAAGGAGACAAAGAAAGGCAGAAAGAAGCAATTCGTTGGCAACGTCGTCTCGCCACGTCACACACAACCCCCCTTGTTTCCTCGGAGCGACAGCGAAAAGAGTGTTGTAGACATACTCGGTCGGCGCCAACGCAGAAGAACCCCCCCCCCCCCCCTTTTTTCTCATGGGATCTGTCGCGCTAGCCGACAAATGTTCCCGTTCATAGGGGCGCATTTGAGAAGAATATTACAAGAGAGAAGATGCTTTTCTTGGTTCAGCCAAGACGCCAGCTTTTGGACTTTGGACTGCTAGGTATGTGTTCTTGACTTTAACCCCTCACACACACCTCCCCTCCTCCTCCCCTTTTCCCTCCTTGAGTATTTTCTTTTCCTTTCATTTCAAGAAGATTGATCGACGCCGGTGCCGTTGAATGAACTTGTCAACGACGCTAATGTAATATATCGATCAAAGCCGTCTTCTTCCCTCCCGTTGGTGCGCTTGAAGAAATGGAAAGGAAAAAAGGAAAATAACGGACGGCGTGAACGGTGGACGGGTAGACGAAAAGGCAAAAGAGCTCCTTGCCCAATCAGGCAATGAGCTCACCGAGCCAAAGGTACGTACCGGGACGAGGTGAGCCGGCTCTTGGGCTGGCGGTGGTGGTGGTGGTAGCTCGGGCACGGTTCAGGGTCCGAACAAACGGACGGAAAGGAAGGGCGCTTATGGGAGTAAGTGGAGGAAGGAAGGATGGAGGGGGTAAAGTAGGGTGGATGGTTGGTGGTTGCGAAGACGGGAGACGGGAAACGGGAAACGGGGTTACGGGTTACGGGGAAACGGCGGGCGGACGCGGGCAGCGGGCAGCGGCACAGCAAAGGGCAAGCACGACTTCTTCTTTGGGGCCGCGTTTCCACTTTCCATTGGCGCTGAACTGCCCGTGTGAGTGCCTTCCCAGCTTTGGGGGGGATTTGGCCCCCACTTTCCGTGGGTCACGTCCCAGGTCCCACGTCCCCGTTCTTGCCGTACTTGGGCTTCACGACAGCCACGTTTGACAACGACGCCTGCCTTGCGTCCCCGTCATGTACGTAAGGTCAGGTACCTAGGTACGGTACTTTGGCATTCCCATTTGGGTAGAGCAGGCACTCTTACTTTCGGGTGTGTGTGTGTGTCTTTGTGTGTGTCGATGATGCTGGTGTTTTCCTGATGCTGATGCTGATGCCGATGCTGACGCTGACTTGCATCTTTCACCTACATACGGATACATACACCTCGAATCACGGCATCACGACGACAGCTCGACACATATACCGGACAGCCCCCCCAGCCGCACGAGCTGCGTATGTGAGTGATGAATGATGCGCGAGATGCATGCTTCTCTCGGGTTTTCGTGCACCTTGCATCCCGCTAACCACAGCGCACGGCATCGGTCTCCCAAGATGGCTTGGTCTGCCGCATCGAGACCCCCTCGATGCACAAGTGTCTCGCTGAATCGGGGAGGCCATGTACGAAGTAGGTATCTCAGCCTCTGTCAGGCAGAGGCTTCTCAGCTGCAGCTGCATCTTGATGTCTTGTCTTTTCTGGGCAAAAATGCCATCAACAGTACTAGTTGCCCCCTCCCTTCCGTCCTCTCCTCCGAGCGCACAATGGAACCTAAATTGGGCATCACAGCTTGAGCTGAGAAGAGACAGAGCAGCCGAGCAGACAATCTTCCCCGACGACAGGCTGTACAAAGTTCACATCCCCGAGCATCTCCCCTGCATCATCTTGCGTCCCCGGCGACGTTGACATTTCCATCTATCCTTTTTGTTCCTTCAACATGTTTCCCATGTCACGCATGTGTTCGTTTCCTGCCAACTCTGTTTGTTGCCCACGCCCCCTTCCCCTCGTCTCTGCCTTCTCAGGTCAAACTTTCTGTGGCTTGTCCTCTTCCCATTCCCTTCCACACGGTTCCGTCTTCCATCATCACTTGGACGGCAGTTCTGGAAGCTTTTTTCTGCCCATCATCGAGGAGGTCCTAGCTTTTGGGGGCTTGACTTGCTTCCTTGGCTCGTCCAAGTGTTGTTGCACCGTGCCGTACTGCACACACACACACACACACACACGCCTCGTTCGTATCGTGCCTTCGTACCTTCGTATCTTATCTGGCGCTCGCTCGCAACTTGCGAATGGAAGCCAGACGAACGGACGGACTTTAGGCACAAAGCTGAGCCGGCCGTCAGCCGCCGACACCACAACTTTGTTCAAGACGGATGATTTGCAATTAATTGAGTTTTGGTGCCTTGTATCTCCCTCCTGCCGTCTACCTATACTTCTATTCCTGGGCATTTGCTTTCCTTTACTTTCCTTGGCCTTGTCACCAGTGTTCCTTAGCTGTCGGACAGACGAAATAGCATTAACCGGCAGTTCGTTCCTTTACACACATTCAGGGAACGAGGAATGAAGCAACCGGCAAGTAGCTGGCCACTTTGGCATGATGCGATTGGGAGAGGCTGTTCACGATGCCGTCTGGGCAAAAAGAGGGCAATCGAGGAATCTGCGAGACCGAGGTCGCCCTGCGAGACACCAGCACCGAAAGCGATGAACGAGGCAGAACCCGGGTTGAACCCAGAAGACGATATGTCCAGCAACAAATACATACATACATACATACGAACATACCCCCTGGGCGGCGGCAAAACATAGCAACTGCATAGACCGACCCGGCGCGATGCGGGAGCCGACGTTGCAGCCCTCGTCGGGCCGTCAACGCAAAGTGATTGCGTCAAGTTTTAGCCTATCTCTGGGTGGGGAGGGTGGTGTTGGACCACTGGTAGACCATTACCCTACTAGCCATGATCTTGCTCTCTCTACCCTCCCCTCAGGCCTGGGACGGTTGTGAGCCGGCTATCAAGCCATCTTATGTGCAGTGGGAAGAGGGGATAGGGGAGTGAAGGAAGAGAGGGGAGGGTGTGTTGAGGAATTCGAGCTGATGCTTTCCTTGCTGATTCCCATCTTCTTTTTGCTTCTTCTCTCTCTCTTTTCCCCAATCCTCCCACTTTCCCCCTTTGCTCGGACGAGAACCACGGACCCGATTGTCTTAGTCGACTGACTCTTGATTTTCTCCCAGCTTCTTCCGTTTTTGCTCTTGAGGGGTCCGATGTAGAGGTACATCGTCCTGACTGGAGCACGTCCCCCGCCATGTACCAGTTCAAACCTGCCTGTTTCTGGCCCGTCCCTTTTTTTTTTCTTTTACCCAATTCTTGCACATGATTTTTGCTTTTTGGGACAATGGAGGGGGAGTACAGAGGCAAGGGGAGAGAAGGGGGAAGAAGGATGATAGGTGGGCACACTTTTGACACCCAACCCGCACCTCCAAAGCTCTCTACCTACTACAGTAAGGTATACGTAGTACAGTAGTCCTCCTCCTCCTCCAACCCCCGATAAGCTACGGGGCTGCCTTAGTTTACGACTTTCGCATTTTCTCCGAAAATCGCAGCAGTCTCGGCACCCGGGATCCACCACCTGGACGTACCTGCAAGGCGACCCAATGCCGGCAAGCCCCGGGACCGCGGGCGGGGGAGAACCTGACCTGACAGCCTACCTTACATTACAGGAAAGACGGGAGAAAGGGAAAAGAAAAGAAAAAAACCCCACCACCCTTGAACCACTTGAACCAGGTACGATCGGGCAAAACTGGAGTCCTCGCTGATGGCCGGATTTACCCCGCACACCACCCGTGTCACGTCATCTAACAGCCCGGCCGGCGCTGTACCGGCCGCGACCTTGTCCGCAGGCTTGCCCGCAGGCTTGAGGCGGTATGTCTGAATGGATGGATGACCTCACAATCAACCCCGTCCCGTCGTCGCCTTCTTCCCACTTTTCCCCCTCTCGTTCTCGGGAAGGGTTGTTCCATGCGATCCCACCTTTTCCATGTACGGTACCTGCCGAGGTTCTCCACTGGTCCCGGCTTGGTCCGCCGGCTGGGACCCCGTTCCCTGGGATGCGGGTTTGGCCGGGGTGACCCGACTTGTGGAGCCTTCCTAGGAAGCGGTCGGGAATCTCTTTGTCTCTGTCTTTCTATCGCCTGGCGATTGCTACCCGACTTATGTAGCCCCGATGCCGAGAGTGGGCTGGTGAACCTTTGTGTGTGTGTGTGTCGATATCAAGTTTTCCGACGACGCGCCTTGGTCTATGGCTGAGATAAAAGCGGAATTTGCTGTCCTTTTACCTCGTTGAGTAGCTATTGTATAATGTGAGGGAGTTTACATGATTAAGACGAGAACCTGTGGTTGCT